TCGGCAGAGCTGTTATGAGCCAGGACAGGGGGGCCTGCTACGCCACGATCTTCCTGTCAAGTCTGTTTCTCCGAGCTGAGCGAGTCGCACGGTTACCTCATTGATGTTGCTGTTGGGAGCAAGGTGGCATTTTTCTGCATCGAAATTTTTGCTTCTCATTTTCCCTACAGCCAGCCTCCTAAACATGGACGTCGCTTTTTGCGCCTCGGCATCCCAACAAGACCCCGAACATGCAACGGGATGTATGCGACCTTAGCTGTCGCATCCTTGCAAAGTCCCGAGCCACGATGGATCGTCCTACATTACATCAGTGGGGTCGTCGTCATCTTTTGAGGAAGCACAGGCCTCGAAGGCCACTGGGCAGCTGAAGTCTCACCGACGGACCGTGGCGCCAATTCCAAACGCGGGCAGCTAGGCCGTTGACAAGCCTGCTAGGGCTGGAGCCAAGGTCAGGCACCTCGACTTGACGTAAGGAGCCCGGACGTTCCCCTTTGACGTCTCGGGGGGCCCGGCGCCAATCGTCCCCAAGGGCGCTTTGTGAATGCGGGAGATCCGCCATTTATCGCCCGCGACCCACCGTTCTCAACCCCCTTTGCCCGCTTGCGCGGACCCAGCCTGCTGTTCACCTCACCCACCGACAGCCGGAGCTAATAGGCGCGTTGGGCTTTTCTTGTTTGCATTTGTTTGCATGCTGCGTTGCCGTCCCCGCCGGCCGGCCAGGCCCACCCCCCCCCCCGTTTCCTTTCTCCCACCCTTGAGATGCGCATGTGGAACCTGGCAGTTGTTTGTCTGGACTTGCTTGGCAGAGCCTGCTCCGAGGTGACACGGAGGCTTCATTGGAGGAATTTGCGTGGAGTCGCTCACCAAATTGCAGTCTTTGCCGTAAAGCCCCCTTTTCTCAGCCACAAGGGGACTCCGAAGGGTTTTGATGTTAAGACCTTGATTGAGGATTTTTCAACTCCCTCTTCCTTGTCATGATTCCCAGTAGAGCTGATTGATGATGGACATTTGTAACCTATACCAAGCCGCATATGGAGCCAAGGCGCGGGACATCCGAATAACCCTAAAATCAGCCGAGAAATCGTCCGGCGTACGTCAGGAGCCTCCAAAGCCCGTGTGAATAGCGTCTCGGGTAGGGTGGCTGGATCGAACAAACTAGACCTGTAAGAAACATCAAGGCCGAAGGGGTGAAGTTGGCGGAGCGGACACGCACTGCATGCCATGCCTCACACGGTCATTCTCTGGCGCCTCCCCAACCACAGGACTGAGCAGGTTTCGCGGCGAATAGTATGAGGTTCCGGACAAGGAAGTTCCCAGATGACACTCCTCAAACTCTAAATCGTGGGTTGCGAGCCTCTAGACATTCGCCACTCTGAACGCCGGCATGAGATACGCGGTCAGCTTTGTCCGCACAATCAGCGGGCTCGCCCGCAAGGGGCCTCTCCATGGTACGATGAGGGCCGAGAGCGAGCTTCAAGGCAAACCTAAGGAGTATGCGTGCTGGATAGAGGGGGTGATGCCATCCCCAACATGATTATGGGTACCCAGTTGGTCCCCCGAGATTTTCTGCGGACGTTTGCAAACGCAACACCTGTCTTGCCCTCATCCTGGTTTCCTGGGTTGTAATGCCTGCTCTCGGACGAATTATCGGACTTACCCCCCTACTGTTCCTTCGCCATCCCATCTAAGGATTTGTTCATGATAGCGTCAAAACAACCGGAGTTGGAGGGCCGCCTTGACTCGTGACGCCAGCACGAACAGCACAGTCGAAGTCTCATCATTTCGCTGTCTCGAATCTCCTGTCAAGCAAATTGGCAGGACATCTCTTACACCTGAACATCTAAACTCTTCACATCAGGTTTCCAAATTGTCGGGAAGGCTATCGAGAGATTTCGCTACCTACTGCTACCCTCGCCGACAAAGATGTCAACATCCGTTGTTACTCGGCAAGACTCCGAAAGTCTGCCAAGCTGACATGTTGGTTGCACAGACTAAGTATGCAAGTCATACTCCCTAAACTGAACTATACGAAACCAAATCACTAGTCAAGGGCCTGGTACGGTATGCCTCGGCCCATGTACTTGTGCTTGATCATTCAGAAGCTTGATTAGCTAGGCCACATGTCTGGCAGGTTATGAACTTAACATCAGGAGATCACATCGTTCGCCAAGGCTTGGCTGTAAGATGCCGGAAGACCAGATTGTTGATCCAGTCAGTTTCGTGTTCCCTTGATGCCAGCGAGGCAAAACGAGCTGCCTATTTGGATCGAAAGAAACGACTAACGATCTATAGTTGCGCCTCTTGTGTCTTGTAGATCTCGTTGTACCCTTCAAGGGATGCCTTTTCCAAAGTCGCCAAGTCGCCGCCCTTGAACCGCTCGGGGTCCAGCGCCCTCCGAACTGCCTCATCGCCATCAATACCATCAATAACTCTGGTCAGGAACTTAGCCGTGCCTGCAGCATGCGTCACCCACACAGCAACGGCCATGTACAAGCCTTTGATCGACTGCACGGCTCCCGCCAGGGGCATGTTGTCAGGCGTCATGGAGAAGATGCCGTTGAATTTGACGCCAGCCCGCAGCTGCTTTGACGCCTCGTCCGGCACAAGGCTCGTGGCCGTCGTTAGGGGCGCGTCGAACCCTTGAACCCAGTCGCCGATCGCCGTGCCGTTCGTGAGCTTGCACTCAAGCGGTTGGTGGTCGTACGTGCCAAGGCCGTAACGATCCCCGTGATCGCGCGCATAGACGTGGTGTTCTGGCCAGCGCACAAACGGCATTTTTCTGCCGAGTGATGGTCTAGCCTCACCGTGCAGATACGGGTGTCCGACTGGCACGACGGGGACGACTGGCAGCGGAGTTCCATATGCAGTCTGCTGGTGGTGGTGGTGCTGCTGCTGGTGGTGGTGTTGTTGTTCACGCGCCAACAGCGTCTGCGCCCAGACGCCGGTTGCCAAGATGACGACGTCGGCGATTAGCTGCCGGCTGGAGGAGACGTCTCCCAGCTCGACACCGGTAGTGCGGCCGTCGGCGATAATTAGGCGGCGGACCTCGGCCTCGACGAACTGCACGCCGTTCGCCTTAGCGCTCTGCTGGAAATAAGCGGTGATGCAGTTGGCGTCGGCTGTCCCGTCACTGGAGAAGCTAAGGGCGGCCCCGGACTCAGTGTCTGACGATCGTACCAGGTCCGGTGCCATCTGACTCGCTTGACGCATGCTCAACAGCTGGGCAGGAAGACCGAGGGCCGCTGCCTTGCTTTGTCTCGATTTGAGCCGCTCGACGCCGGAGATGCTGTGCGCGACCTCGAGGCCGCCGACGGCGTCAAAGCCGCCGGGGATCTTACGGTATTCCGAAACGGTGGCCATGGCGAGGCGCGTGAGGACCTCGGAGTCATTGAACTGGCCTATGAACCCAGGCGCGTGGCCGGTCGACCCTACGAGCGGGCTGAGAGATCGGTCCACCACGGTGATCTGGCGATTGACATTAGAGATGCACAGGAAGTGGGCCAAAGCGGAGCCAACGATGCCCCCTCCAACGATCACCACAGTCTGGGGTGGTTTGATGTGCGACATGGTTGGCAGCTAAGGGCAGATGGAACGGCAGTATGCGTGGTCTGATGTTGGTGAGCGAGCCCATGCTGCGAGCTGGCAGCGTATGTCAATTTCGGAATGCTCGATTGTCGATGATGGATGCAACCTTGATGGTGATTCAGTTGCGTCTTAGGCCCTACTATATTGACATCGCGATAGCCCCACGGCCGTGCTCTACACCGTTCAAGACCCGCCTAATTGTCGTACGAAAGGCGCGCCCCTCGTCTACACTTGAGTTATTTCTTGATCGGTCGGAGGGCGCACTAAGGACGTTCCTATCTACACGATCCATCGCGCCCTCCCCCTCAAGTGTTCGACTTTGGGCGAGTCCGACAAAGGCTCGCTTGTCTCACTAAGTGAGAACAATGGCCAGACATTGTGTATGTCGATGGGAATCGACAAGTAACTGCTGTATTCCCAACAGCGGGTCCTGGGGCGTTGTTTGAGCTGGCTCATGTCAAGTCTGGATTGAAGCAGCAAATTTTTATCCGTACATTCAGATGTCTATTGGTTCAAAAAGTGACTGATCTTGCATAGAAGACTGCATTTAGGGTTTGTCCAGGTCGACGAAAGTCTAAAAAGCTTCAAGGCTGACTAGTCCTAGTCATTGTGATCTGCGCTCTGAGTCAAATGATCTGGAAATGCGGCTGTGTGTGCTCTAAGCGAAGTAGAGTACCAACATGAATTCACTTCCAGTGTAATGACCTTGACGATGCATCGAATGGATGCAGAGACCCTTGTGAGTGCCAGATCAGCCTCAAGCTATGCTGGGAATGCCTAACGACACTGGGCTGTGGTCAACGTGAGAGGAAGGCACAGATTCAGCCGTGCACAAATTGATTACTGTCGCTGCTCTTTAAACCTCAGACGCCGTTGAGTATCTTGGAACTCTGGGGGGAAAGAACCCAGAACATATAGGTAGACCTTTGAAGCGAATTGATTCATACTCGCGCATGGTTGTACGATTGATGACCCCGGGAAATCGTGCTCATGAAGACAGCATGCGCACCTGTCGTTGAAGGACTACAACAGACAAAGTGGCGATTGCAGCATGATTGCGGTTGAAATGAAGAGGAAAGAGGGACCTAAGAAGATGATATTCGAGGACCACCCCTTGATGAGATAGCTCTGGCCGCACATGATATGACAGCCTTGCCAATACCATCAAACCATGGTGCAAACATGGGTCAATAGTCAGTGAGGCCAGTAGCTTCCAATTTCTGATTGTCCAAACTAAGCTCCCAATCTCAAGCCCGACGCCGCTCACAGGAGAAAGATCTACACATGCGACCGTGGTCATCTACCTTCCAGGACTCACTGCCAACGCCTGCGACGGCGTACAAAAGTCCCTCGGGATCAATTTTATTTTTTATTTGAAGCAGTTTTGGGTAATTCTCTCCGAAGAACGTTTTTTGTCAGTCGGGCTGTTGAAAGTTTGCCTTATTCATGTAGGCCCCGGCTCCGGGTGTGGCAGCCTCAATGACAGGCTGCACCTCGTTCGTGATGCGATCCTGAAGTGCAACCATCTCTTCAAAGGGAGCCCCGAAATCCCAAGGGAGAGTCAGGGAGACCTGCACGATGGAGTCCCGCCACTGGGGCAAGACGGCGTTGATGTTGTCCTTCCCAAATGGCGAAACGTTCAAACCAACGCCAATGAAGACAACACCGAGCTCTACGAGCTTTCTGGTCGTAGGCGCGAAGTCTGGCAGAACTTTTCGAGGCAGCAGTCGACCGCCGAAGAGGTCTGTCCCTACTTGAATGTTGCCCGAGGGTAGCGGGCCCCAGTAGTGGTCGTAATGGTCGGCGTAGCTGCTGAACTCAGTGTACGCCACTTCGAGTTCGATACCGAGCCCAGCGAGAGAGGTGCTGAACGGCGCCAGAATTTGCTCGGTCTCCTCCCTTTTCTTGTCGTACGCAGTGAGGGCTGCAACCTGGAAGAAACCTGGGCCGAAGAAGTAAATGACCATGACACCCGCGTCGACAATGTCGGGCAGCGCAGCATGGAAGGCGTCTACGACATCGTACAGAAGCTCCGATTGATTCGACGGAATAGCCACTGCAAAACGAGCGCCGCCGACCTTGGCGTCAGGGTGAGCTCGGACAACCATGGATACCACGACGCCAAAAACGCCGCCGCCACCACCACTCAGTGCCCAGTACAGGTCTTGGTTTTCGGAGCTCGAAGCGGTTACCAATTCTCCCGAGGGTGTTACCACGTCGAAAGACAGCGCATTGTCCGCCGCTAGACCAAAGATCGAGCTCAAGGCAGAGTGTCCTCCGCCCTGGGTGTATGCGCCCGCGAGACCAACCGTGGGACATTCTCCGGTTACAACCGTGAGACCCTCGCGACGGGCGACTTCAATCGCCTCAAACCCTTGGACCCCAGCGCCTAGCTTCAAGGCCTTGCCGACATACTGATCATCGTGCCAATCGATAATCTCCATGTCTTTAAGGTGATGTATCCAAACAGATAAAGCACCAGCTCCGGTTGATCGGCCGTGGTAGTCGTGTCCGGTGTTCCTGATTACGAACCTAACGTTCTTTTCTTCGGCAAATCGCAGCGCAGCGATGATATCTTCCGGCCCTGAAGCATCAACGGTGTACACCACATAGTTTCCCGGCTCACATGGAGCATCTCGCGGCTGAAAGGGATCGCAGCTCTGATTGGCGAACAAAGGCGCCATCACTGATGAGGATGATTGAGAGCTGGCGTATAGGTCAGTCTCATGGATGGACACAACCTCAAATTCAAGACCGACAGGTGCATAAACTCACTGGACTGTTGAGAAACGCCACTCCTCTTGGAGACGAGCGCATTCCGCTTCGTCATAGTCCTTCCCGTGACATGCATTAGCTAGTGGTACTGTTGCAATCAGTCTGCCCCCGACGGTTTCGTTCAGTCGATTCCATTCTGACTTCATAGGCCAGCATGTATCCCCAGGGAGACATTTGCAAGAGCCTTCATCAAAGAGACGTCGTGATGAGAGTTGACGCCCCGATCCAGCGACAATACTGAAACAAAGGGCGAATCCGATCAATGTCAACTGCATTTCAGATCAATCAGCAGAACATATCGTCCTGTGTTTTTGGTAAAATGGACTGTGATCCTGCAGGTTGGGGAAAAAACAATCTTGATTCTCTTCGCCAAGACTTCGGTTCAGGATCGGCAGCAAACATCCTGGGCTGATCCTTCATACGCGTATCTCGCCCTGTAGGAGCCCTGACATGTAGGTCAGGGGTGAGACGACAGCTGGCAAGGCCTTGGCCCTCAGTGGATTTATGCACATCGAGGTGAGCACACCGCCCGAGGAGCGTCAATCATCTCCTAAACAGCACAAAAGTCCGATTTAGGCGGCGATATTATTCACATTCAGCAATCATGTGCCTCGCCACGGCGGTCCCGCCTCAGACAAGAATCAGTGACGACCACTAACCTTTCAGACCATAGAGACTTTGAGTCACGAGCATCCAAGAAACATGCAAACGAAATTTCAATTAGGTAGACCAAATACGGTACTCGAAGAACAGGAGACAGTTCGCAGATATTGCCAACAGATTGTGGGCAGCATGACCAAACGATCCCAGAGTGCGACCCTCATGACCTTCTGTCGCGCATATAAACTCACTTCACACGAGTGCCCTTTTCTCAGAAACCCCCGTTCGGATGGATGAGAACCTTCGTGTAACCATCGATTCTCTTGTCGAACTTCTGATAGGCAACTTCAACGTCATCGATACCAATCTCATGAGAGACAACGAAGCTCGGCTTCGCCTTGCCTGCAACAATGAGATCTCTAAGATAGCGGTTATATTGTTTGACGTTGCATTGCCCGGTGGAAAGACTCAGGCCCTAGTTTGTGTTAGCTAGAATTGGTGACTATCTGCTATTTCTTCCATTTACCTTCTCAAACAGCTTTCCGAAGCTGAGGCTGATCATACCCTTGCCCGATGCATCATCAGGCGCGCCAGGATCACTACGAAGCTCTTCGTCAGCGGTCATTTCAGCGCTGTTGTATAAGCATGGTATACCTGGGCACGTAAAGGCCGGGGATTCCCATCCCACCGCAAGCCCTGGTGACGCGGATCATGCTCTCGAGAACGATATTCGGCTGTTCCTTCGAGCCGCCTTTATCAACCGCTTGGTAGCCAACAGCGTCCACGGACCGATCGACCATACCATCGTTCGCCTTGATGATCTGATCCACTGGGTCACTGGAGCTAAAGTCAATGGGCACGCACCCGATCTTTTCCGCTGCCTTCAGGCGCTCAGGAACACGATCGACAACATAGACGCGTGAGGCACCACGCAGTACGGCAGAGTAAGCCGCCATTAGCCCGACGGGGCCAGCGCCGAAAACTGCAATGCTCTCGCCGGGCTTGAAACCGGATAGTTCGACACCATGCCATCCTGCCCATGTTAGCACGCAGAAATGCAGATTAGTGGCTTCAGTTGCGGGAGGGTACCTGTTGGGAAGATGTCTTGTGTGTGCGCCCAATTAGTAAAGGTCTCAGTAGTTACATCTTTGATGCTCTAGCTCTCACCTGCAAGCAGAATAAAGTCTGACTCGTTCTCCTTGCCTGCCGGTAGCTTCAAGGCATTGAAGTCGGCATAGGGTACTCGGATATATTGTGCTTGCCCTGTAGAATACAGCTTAATAGGGGCGCATCATAACACAGATTCATCAGACTCACCACCGCGGTAAGGCCCCATAGACACGTAGCCTGAACAGTCAGTATCAAATGGTCGAAAATGCTTCGAATAACATACCATATGCCCCTCCTGCGAACCCAGGGTTGACACCAGTGCAGAAAGCAGTGCGCCCTTCCTCGCAGTTTCGGCAGCGGCCGTCAGCGACATTGAACGGCATTACAACGCGATCACCCTTTTTCAGAAGCGTCACGCCTTCTCCCAGCTCCTCAACAATCCCCATATTCTCATGGCCTGCCTTCAAGTCAGCTTTCCAGTAACGAGATGAGGTGACTAGTGTCACACCAACCAAAGGTGATACCGGGCTCAGCAGCCGTTCTGCCCTCGTACATACTGCGGATGTTGATTAGAGGTCTTCCAAGACAACCTCCCCCATCCCCCCTACTCACTGCAAGTCACTACCACAGATCGCTGCCTGTAGATTTATTAGGTTTCTCCATTAATTACGGTCGCAGTGGGCCATCTTTACCGTTGTGACTTTGACGATGACATCATCGGGATGTTCTAGCTTTGGCTTCTCAACCTCTTGGACCTTGACCTCGAACGGCCCTTGGTAGTTCACAGCCTTCATGGTCGTCATATTGTACGGATTGCTTGAGGGGAGTCAGTAAAATTCGGAAGAACATGATGGGGGGACAACAGACACAGAACGTCCCTGGACACCCCTTCTTATTGATGTTTCCAGTCGGCTCTACCCCGCGTTCGATAAACGGACTGGTAAGCATGACGGGAAGTCCGGGCGACAAATCTCGGGTTTCGCCCGGCGTTCTGTCCCCGCGATGACGCTCTTGTTCCTAATTTAGAGGCTTGGCTGCACCAATCGTGGGGACTAAAACGCGGGGAAGATGGAAGAGAGGACGAAGGATGTCCCGGCATTTGGAATCACACGCTGAACTGTGGGGAAAGAGACATTATAGTTCGTGCTGCCACGAGGCTGCTGCGCCAACAAGCTCGAGTCGGCCGACAGAATGGCGGCCATGCCTATGGAATGGTCTGGCCCTGGGGCTGAGGCGCAATGTGGCAGCACCGATCTGCACAGGATAATAAGGGTGTGGTCGTGACGAGGGTTCGGGTCAAAGAGAAGCTAGTTAGCCGATGCACCTTCAATACATACCGGTGTAGGGCCTGTTGAAATGCTAGAGTTTTCGCTATCCTCTACGTTGACCTGGCTTCTTGAGCCGCTAAAATGGTTCGTTGAAGTGGGTGGGAACTATCAGCATGTCTATCGTCGACAATCTACCATCGTGGAGCTTCGACATGTCCAAACCGCGGTCGCACTACGTGATCACATTACGAATTATTTCTGGTGGCGTGGAATGGTCATGGAAAAAGGAGAAACGTGAAGCTGCACCTAGAAATAGCCTGTACCTTCATTGCAAATGCTGGCAGTACAAGTGATCAATGACCTTCCTGTCAACCGCCGAATAGAACTGAAGTATGAAAAAAAAACCAAAAACGTCGATTATTGTAGAGATACTTCGATGGCGTACGTGTCGTGACCCTGAGTAATGTATCCAATAAAACCAGACCCAAACGGTATCCTCAGGCAAGTCATGTGTTCCGTCATGATGACTTCTTTACCAGAAAGAAATAGAGAAAGCGAATTCGCCTGCTATTGACTAACTCCGGCTCAAGCCTGTGCCTTCTCGTCATGAGAGACCATGCCCTTGATCTCGTTATCATCTGACGCTCGGTCTCTCTTCCGTGGCGCCGAGATGGCGCTGGCCAAGTCTGAGTAGAGGAGCACGGTGCCTGTCTGGGTATCTTCGTTCGCAGTGGCATCGGCGTCAAGTACTAGCCACTGCGCTCTCTCGAACCGCTGACGGACGTAAGGAGACATTCCAACGAACCGCAATTCCACATTGTCCCCACCGTACTTGCGAACGCTGGCGGCAAGATTCTTCAAATGACTGATGGCGGTGAAGTCGATGTGATTAACCCTCGCAAAGTCGAGGACAACGAGACCAATTTCGGGCAACGACGTGGGATCATGAATGCCAGCCTTCTTTCGGAGCCTTCCAACGCGTTTCTCGCCAACGACAGACCAGTTGCGCTCGGTCTCGGGTCCGTGGCTGCCGTTATACACGGGCGCGTGGAATGTTTGAATGTCATCCAGTACACGAGATGTGTTACTGAAAGCGTTGGGGAAGAAAAGCGATTCGTTGAACCTGAAGACTCGCGTGTCCTCGGGCAGGTTCCTCGGAACTGCGCTTGATGCATGCAGTGCGCGAGCAAGCTCGGACTGGGATTGAGAAGATCCGCTTGACGAGAGAGTTGTGAAGACTTGGCGCAACAGGACATAGACAATATTGAAGCCGACGGCAGCGCCAATTCCGATTTCAGTAGAAACAAAAAGCGAGACCCAAAACGCAATCATGGAGGAGATGAAGTCAGCCAAAGAGGTCTTCCAATATCGGTAAAAAGTCGACGGCGGTGAGATCAGGGGCCACACGGCCGTGATGATGATCGCAGCTAGTGTTGCTTTGGGGATCCAAAACAGCGTTCCGACCAATTCATACACGCAGATGAGTACCACCGCCATAGTAACGAGACCGGACAAGGGTGATTTGACATTGCAAGAAGAGTTGACAGCCGTTCGCGACATAGCGCCGCCGACGCCCATGGCGTGAAAGAAGCTGTTGAAGAAATTGGTTACGCCGAAGTAGCAAAGCTCTTGACTTTGGTCTGTCGTGTACTGATTCCTGACTGCAAAGGCACGGGCAATCGCTGTATGTTCCACTGCTGCACCGATGAACACTGCAATGCTGCGGCCGGCCACTTCTGGGATCAGATCCTGGCGCGGGAAGGTGGGTGCTTGTTGGCCATTGGCCTTGACTTCGACGACTTCAAACAGGTACTCCGACCTGTTTTTGTTCACTCCGTAGCTGACCCCAGTAAAAAGTACGAGGGTGAGAAAGGCTCGAGTGATGGAGAGCAGCCATATAGTCTTGTTCTTCTTCCCCCACCGCTTCCCAG